CGATCCTACGGTAGTAACCTGCAAATCACAAGCATGTTATAAATTTAACCTGAAATAATAACTTCAGAAATGATATTTTAACGAAAAAAAAATTTAATTACCGGAGGTTCTACCCTAGGTGGCAAATAAGGTGAATGTTGTATACTTGAAGAGTAAGCACCATACAAAGACGAATAATTTGGAAAAGACGCACCAGGCAACGATGTTGGATATCCAGAATGTATACTGGGACTTCCCGGACCTTGAGTTCCACCGTGATTGAATAAGCTACTACCAGAATGTGTACTGACGTGAAGAGATATTGCTGAATGATTTGTAATAGACAAATCCGAGTTATTCGAATTTGTATTATTTGAAGTTGTAGTTATGGATGTTGAAGGTGCAGAACTTGATAGTATTTTAGATGGAGTGATGCGTCCGTGAACCGCTTGCGATCCGACATGACTAGCAGAATGGCTCAAAGGAAGAATCTGATGCTGTGCCAAGGGCGTGGCGGCCCGAGCTCCAGATTGTAGCGGATCATTTTGTATTCTTAAAGGACCGCTACCGGGCTGAGGACTACTTCCTGGGCGCAAAGGCAAAGTCGATTCATTTAGGCCTCGCGGATTCGAAACATGACTAAGAGGATGAAGCGTTGCATTGTGCTGCATAATTCCCGAAACACTATTGCTTCCTGTTCCGGCACTTGAAAGACTAAAGGTAGTAGAAATATTGTTAGAAATCCCCGAATTCGATGCGGATAAACTAATTGCTGTAGACATCGAAGACGAGTTTGAGATCACAGGAGAAACACTGGAAGTTGTTACAGGATGTGGAGGAACAGGCATGTTCATGGGCTTCACAGGAGGAGACTTTGAATTAAATGTGACTAACGGTTTTTTGGGAGGAAATTGTAAAGAAAGTCCATTTTGTGAAGGCAATCCAGGATTGTGCAAATTTGTTCTGATCGAACTTTGATACATTTGATTTGGATGTATCGATTTATGAGATACAACATTGCTACCCTGATGAACAGCTTGTTGAATAGGATTACTGGACAAATTCGAGGTGTGCAACTGAGAAGGCATTATACCGGAATGTGCCACAACTGGACTACTAACAGGTGCGCGAATGAGACCCGATTCTCTTTCAGTTCTACCTTTGTCTATTGCACTCGAAGAATGAGAGTCTTTTCTCTTATCTAAACTTATTGGTGCCAAAACATTATCCAAACACTTATCGGTTTGAATGGGAAGTACATCTAACGTCCTTTTATCTAAATGACTTGACAAAGGTGCATTACTTAACATATGTACCGGGATACCGTCGCTCCTCGAATTATCCAAATGTACAACATCAATACGAGATTTATCTAACATAACATTTTTCTCAGCGAGGATTCCTTCGATTCTATCTTTTTCCATGTGATTTAAATGACCATCCAGTCTTGTCTCAAAGTTACCTGCCCCGTGAATATGAGTATTTGGTTCAAGTCTTTTATTTTCCACTAGAGTATTACTTTCAAATCTCTTTTCGAAAGTCGGCCGGTTTATCTCTAACCGAGTTTTTTCATTTGAATTAAGTCCTAAACCATCAAACCTTGGCAACGTTGCTCTTTCAGATTCCAGCACGTGAGCTTTTTCCAATTGCGTAGATGAATAATTAAGTAGCGACGCAGTCATTGGGGTTTTGGCATTATCAGCAAGTCCGTTCGATTGAAGTGAAGCGACAGGAGCCGAATGATTTAAACACGTTGCAGCATTGCTGCTGGGTGGTGGAGATTCCGACCCATTTGTTATTAGGGTATTTTGAGTTTCACCAGTTTCGTTTAGCTCATCTAAAATTATATTTTAAATGTTAAAAATTTTTAATAATAAATCAACATGATCCAGAATGTAAAATTAACAATTGTAAAAAAAAAAAAAAAAAAAAAAAAAAAAAACCACTTACGCTTCTTCGAAGCACTTGTAGGAGTAGCAGCGAACAGCGATCCAGCATCTGAACCCTTTAACAAAAAAGAAGAAACAATTTTAAAATTAATATTAAATAAATAAATAAATAAAACATAAAATAAATTTTAAAGATTTTATTTTTCAAAAAAAAAAAATTAAAACGTTTTTAATTTTAATTAGTGTAATACGTTGGAATAATTAAAATCGTGTGATTTGACTTGACGTGCTTAATAAATTCCAATTGAAATATTGTTTAACTTTAAAACTAACTTTAAAATTCGTAGGAAAAAACCCCTTTTTTTTTAACAATTAATCCAACTGAAAATAAAATACACGGTAAAAATTTACTAAAAAAAAAAAAAAAAAAAAAAAGGTACGAAATCGAATTAACGTAAATAATATTATTTTTTTTTTTTTTTTTTATAATTGATCAAAATGACGTTTATCGATGTTGTTTAGTTAGTTAGCATTTAACAAATTGGAAAATATGGCAATAATATTATTCAATTTTAACTAATTTTAATTACTACTTCATTACTTCGCGTTTTAATGGCAACAATAAATTTTTATTTCATTTTTAACTTTGCTTAAGTAGATATACAAATTCATAGGTAAATACGTTAAATAAAACTACAAATCATGGCTTTTGAGCATAAAAAAAAAAATTTTTTCTTTAATTGGTTCCACGCAATTACAACTAATTGAATTTAATGTCAAAACTTTGTTTTAATTTTTTTTTTTATTATCATTTTTCTGGGTTAATAATCTACATGTTTAACATTACGTAAACGAACAATATGATTAAAAGCAAATTATTTAAATTAAAAAAAAATAAATAAATTTTTTTTAAAAATAATAATAATGAAAATATCATATTTATTTACCTTGTCATCTTCTCCTTCGCTATCACACTGAAAACAAACAAAAAAAAAATATATAATTAACAATTTGATTTAAAAAATTATTTAAAAAAAATTTTTTTTTTTTTTTTTCCCCATTGATAATGTATTAATGCGAGGGTGGTGGGAAAAAGGGGCATTTAATGTTTTATAATGAAAAATAAATGACGTGATTATCGATTCCACGTTTTATTGAGAGAGAAAGAGAGAGAGAGAGAGAAAAAATCGATTTCATCACACAATTTTTTTTTTTATATTAAAGTGTATAAAAGTTTCTATAAAAAAATCAAATATATTTGACAGTTAAAAAAAAAAAAAAAATTTACGTCATCATCTTATAAAACTTATTATACCTAAAGGTACTAAAAAAAATATCGAATGAAAAGAATGAAAAGAAAGGAGCTTTCGAAAAGCTTTTTACGATTATTGTAGTAATTAATTAATAAAGTGTAGGAGGAGTAAAAAATTTTTAAACTTACGATATAACCACGTCCAGAGCTACAACGACTGCTGGCATCACTGAGATGATCGTGGGAACTCTCTCTATGAGCGTGAGATATACCTGAAGGTCTCACTTCAGAGGCTCGTCCACTGTCGTCACTGGTTCCCGCATCGTGGCCCTTAAATTACATTACATAAAATATATATATATATATATTAATTTTTTTTTTTTGCACTTCTTCTTATTAATCTAATATTAATCACCTTTCAAGTTTCAAAAAAATGCATTTAAGTACATAAGGCTCGTTTTAAAATAAATAATAAATTATGTAACATCACAACACATGAAGTCAAAAATTTTGCCATTTTTTTTTTTGAACAATGAAAAAAAAAAAAAAAAAAAAAAATTAAAGTAATTATCTGTTTTAGAAAAAGGGGATTTCCAGCAAAGTTTTATGCTTTTATTTATTTTTTTTTTAAACTTTAATTCAAAAGTTATTTTATTAATTATTGGATTATTTTTTAAAGACTTTGTTCATTATTTGTGAAGGCTTTAATAGAGCAATCTATAAGACTTTAAACTGAATAATAAAATGAAAATAAAATAAAAACATAACAACAACTAGCTTATAAAACTTGAGCCAATTTATGGAAATTGTGAAAGAGCATCAACTAACACATATTTAAAAACCATAACTAATGTAAATGCACCATCATTGAGATAAATTTTAATTTTGAGTTGAAAAACTTTTAAACAAGGTTATTCATTGTAAAAGAATTTAAAATTTGGTGATTATGATTAATTTTAAAATAAAATTAAGGATTTTATAAATTATTCAATAATAATGTTTTAAAAAAAAAAAGGGAAATCATTTAAATATGTCTACTTTTTATGATATTGTTTTGTCGCAAGTTAATTTTCGACATGTGCGAGTGTCCATGTATATTTTAAAATTATTATTTGTTTGCTATAAAAATGACGTAAATAATTTAATCGCAAAGAATAATTTAATTAAATCATTTTTAATAAAAAGAAAATATTAATGTAGTCTTTTTTTTTTTAAAAATTTTACTAATTATCGTTGGCCGAATTAATTATAATTGAAATTATTACTTTCATAAAATCATTAATAGTTATAAATTAAGTGAAAATTTAAGATTCTATACTTTGGAATAAGTTACATGAAATAAAAAGATTGATTAGTTAAAAATATAAAAAGTCATACCGGGGCAGGGCTATGTCGATTAATAACTCGAAGACTTCCTTGACTACGTATTTTCTCATCAAACATATTTAACTTGGTGTTTTTAGTTGCAGCCATTTTCACAGCCATCTGAAATTATATTAATTAATTATAATATAATGTTCTATCTTTACAAAAAAAAAAATTGTCAAAATAATATTAAAGTTTGACTTTACCCATTTATAAAAAACAAGGTTTAATTTAATGAAAATAATACATACTGATTGTTACTCTAACAGATCTAACTTTAGATTTATTTACAATATAACTTTAATTTATAAAAAACCAAAAAACAAGCATAATAATACTTATAGTAAAATTTAGAAAAAAATTTAATTAATAATTAGTAATGATAAGTAGTTTACTATGCATTTCCTAATAGAAAACAAACATTTTAGAATTTTAATATATACATCATTGTGTTGTAAATAATTAATTCTTTACAAAATAAAATCACATTAATTTTTTTTTTTTTCTTTTTTTCTGAAACTCTTAAGGCGAAAACCTTCAAATATACTGAACATTAAAAAATAATTATATGAGGTGAACTACTTAGTGGGAAGGTAAATGAAATTTTCAAATCTTTTATTGGAATAAACTAAAATTAACAACAGCGAAACCAGTTAAGACTAAATTGAAAAACCTTAAATGTATTTAAGTGAAAAAATTTCTCGATCAAATAAAAGTTACGTTTTATAAGATATCGAAAAAGAACAAAGAAAATATGGCCGACTTACCTCTAGTTCTTCATAACTACGAAAGGCCAATATTGCGAATCCGTCAATAATATCTTCTTCAAAAGTAGGTTCTTTTGTTTTTTTTCTCCTAATAGGAGGCCTATGGGGCTTGACCCCTGACAGAGTCTCATCTTCAGCACTATCCCCATGATCCCTCTGCGCTTGCATGCGCTCAGCTCTTTCTCGCCTTCTGCTCTTTTTCAGGCGATGTTTAATTTCCTTTTCCATTGTTTTCAACACATTATTTATGAATTAAATTTTATCACATCAATAGAAAATTTTTTTAGAAAGACAAGCATAACTACCGAGCCATAAAATCCAGGAATATTTTTTAATAATTTACCTGGATTCAATTTTATGGCAAATGGCGGTACACACCACATCTCGTAAACCAACACATTCAACTGAAAATGGCCGCTCTTAAGATATGACCCCACCTTATTTTAAAGTTTTGTAAGAAACATAAAACGGATCTTTCACAGCAATTGAAAAAGCTGTGATATTTAATCATTGCAATGTATAAATATCTGTTCAATTTAATAACCGACAACAAAATAATATAAATAAAAATAATCGATGCACTCCAAGATTGACTTTGACACACCAAGCTATTACAAAAAGTAAACTTAATTTATGATTGCCAACTTAACATATGTTTATCGCCACGAGAACCTGAAAATTGTTAATTTAAATCTATTAAACATAACTAAACCTGAAACGTTAATACTTAGCTAATCTATTTACAAAAAAAAAAAAAAAAACATAATATCCTAACTAGTTTTCTTTCATTAATTAACAAATGAATGTAAATATTAATAATTAAGTTGGTATCAACTCCAATGGATTTATTTATTTATTTTTTTTTTAAATCAAAGTTTTATTATTATTATTTTTTTTTCAATTATGTAAAATTTAATTATTTTTCTATTATTTAAAATAAATTATTATCTAATATAAATAGTTTATTATTATTTTTTAACAATAACGTACCTGTACTTGTAAAAAATTTTATGTTTATAAAGTCTGAAAAAAAGTTTTTTTTTGATTACATAGAGTAATAAATACACGAAGTAAATACGTTATGGACAAAACAAATAATTTATTTGTTTATATTTTATTAATTTTAATTTAGATTTGTTTTTATTTCTTGAATACGATATTTTTTCTTCGTTACTTTAATTTAAGGGTGTGAATTATTTATGAGTAAAAAATTTTAGTTTGAATAGTTAACTGAAGAAAATAATAATTGATCAAATACTTTTCGTTAAAATTCAATTCATTTTGTATTGATTAAAAACAATTTTTTTTTGATTCACGAATAAAATTAATTAAAATAGAAATACAATCGAATTTATTTAGCTTGAACCTGGTTTTTCAAATGTAAATTTCAAAAAGTTGGAATTTAATTGTTATGAATCTTTACTATTAAAAATTTTACTAGTTTAAATAACAGCAAATTCCATCCAAATTTTTTTTCAACTAAACAATTATACTTCAAATTTATAATTTATATTCATTTTAGTAAACAATAACCATAATCTTATGTGTTGGATTGAACTCAAGTTAAACTTGACTTATCGTCAAAATTATTTTTAAAATAATTAAAAATTTTTTGCTTTCGATGATAAAAAAAATTTGACTAATTGTTATACAATAATAATTGTTTTGTTTTTTTAAATTCAAAAAAAAATATATACATAAAATAAAAGTTATTAATAAATTTAAAAAAGATATATATATATAATTAATTTGATATTTTTTTTTTTTACTACAATTAAAAAACTTTTGGTATTAAATCAATAATTTTTACATAATCTTTACTCATTGAATATAACAATAATAATCGTTTTACATTATTATTATTATTATTATTATTATTATTCAAATTAAAAATATATTATAGACTTATTTTCATATATATTCGAACAAATGTATATAATTATAATGATTAATTTTTTGTTTATAACAACATTTATTATTAATTTAACTGAATTTTTAATTACTGTTAAATTCAGCCTTCGACATAAATTATTTTTTCCTATTATTATTATTATTATTATTTAAATTTCACAATATGATTCATAATTTCTTTTTTTTGCTATAAATCAAAAAGAACGACAAATATTTAAAAGGAAATAAATGTTTTCATATTTTATTTTCTTACAATATCATTTTTAAATTTCTTCACATGAAGATGATGATTACATTTGAAAAAAAGGAAAGAAAAAAAATATGGCGCAAGTTAAATTTTTCTTTTTAACTTTAATTATCTCCCTTCCTAACTTTTATTACTACACCGTTCGGACTGGAATTATATAATATGCGATTACTATCTAAATTCTGTCTAGGACCTTGACTTTTGACGATAGTTTTCGTCTCGCTACTTTCAATAGTTTCCATTGCGTGACCATTTTTTAATGGTATTTTTTTCTTGCTAAATATTTTCACAGTATTCGTTTCGGACGGATTTAAAACGTCATCGGATTTCGATTCGATCGTCACAGTTTCGGAATAATCATCGTCGTTTCCAAAACTTTCTTTCGATATTGTTTTTATCGTGTTGCCATCTTGAAAAACGGTTTTTTTCGTTAGCGGTGAATTTTTCGGATGTTGCGGTTTTATTATGTTCAACTGAAGAGATTTACCAGAAGGCGGTGGATTATTTTCTCTAAACCGATCCGTTTTTTTCATTTCTTTAAATATGCTTTCGCGAATTTCCTGAGTGGGCGATTTACTTTTAGGCCATTGTTTTCTAGGATGATGTAAAGTGTTTCTACCATTGTCTGGAATTTTAAGTTTTTCGTCGTCGAGATAATTAGAACTTTGACTCCAACGATAAATCATGCTCGGACTTCGTAATGGTGGGGGAGATTCTTGAATATCGTGACGATATTGATTAGGTTTATATAAATTATTTGGTCCCGAATGACTGTTAAAACTTTGACTCCTTAATAAATTCGATCTGTACGTTCTTTCCGGTTTGGCAGGAGGTTCTCCAGACAATCCACCATATCCTCTAGATGTTTCCATTGTCTGCGTATTATAAGGTGTGTTCACAAAGGAAACGTTAATAAGACTTCTAGTGTGGGAAAGTGGATCTTTTTCTACCGGTTTTTTCCTTTGACTTTCCCAATAATTTGGTCCGTACGGTA